AGAGGGTCATGGTAGCCGTCCTCAAGGACTTCATCCCTGATAAGGTTGAAGTTTTTCTAGATGACTTTCCTATAAAAGGGCCAGTAGACAGGGATGAGACAGAGGTTGTACCTGGAGTTAGAAGATTCGTCGAGCAGCACCTAACAGATATTTGCGCGGTACTCGAGCAGCTGGACGATGCGAATTTAACAGTCAGCAGAACAAAGAGCCGATGGGTCGTCTCGACTATTAAGATCTTGGGCTTTATATGTGATTCGAGAGGACACCGAGCAGATCCGGCGAAGTTAGACAAACTTCTGAACTGGCCCTCACCGTTACTTAGCCCAACCGAGGTCCGGCAGTTTCTAAGAGTGGTCGGTTACTGGCGTATATTCATACGGGGGTATGCGGAGAAGGCTGAGCCATTGAGGTTACTCCTTCGAAAGACTGAAAACTTCTTTTGGAATTCTTCGCAGGAACTTGCTATGCAAGAACTTAAAGATGAATTTAAGGAAGGAGGACGCGTGTTGGGCGTGCCATTCTTTGACGATGAGACCAAAAGACCCTTCATAGTATCAACGGATGTTGGACCATGTTGAGTGGGTGGTTTGCTGTCTCAGAAGGACGCTGGAGGGAAGGAAAGACCGTTGAGATTTGAGAGTACAACACTTAATACGGCTGAGCGTAACTACAGTCAATTCAAGAAGGAAGTGTTAGCTGTTCTCCGGTGTCTAGACACGTTCAGACACTATATCTATGGGCGATGGCTCATCTTGAGAGTAGACCCCACCGCGGTTGCCTCTGTCCTCCAGAAGGACTTTAGTCTGACGGACCCGACCATCGCCCGATGGTTAATACAGATTCGGCTATACGATTACACGGTTGAGAGAGTGTCTGGTACGAAAAATGTCGTGGCAGATGGACTTTCACGCATCCCTCTCGAGCGTCCGATAGTAGCTGGATCTCTGACAATGGCAGAGCCGAGCCGTGCGAGAGATTTCTAGTTAATCCTTACGAGGGCAAGTACCGAATGATCGGACTACACTTGACGGGAGAGGAGAGTCAAGATTCAGATATCCGGAGGCAAGCAGCCCAGTACTGCCTTAGAGCGGGCCACCTTTTCCGAAGGCCAGTTGGGTCGGGAATGCCCTTATGAGTGGTCTGTGATCCTGAGGAGAGACAGACGATAGTTGCGGAACTTCATGACGGGGTAGTCGGAGGACACAGGGGAGTTAAAGGAACCTACGACAAGATACGCCGGCTGTACTGGTGGGAAGGACAGTATAAGGACGTCGAGAGGTACTGTATGACATGCGAAGAGTGCAAGAAGAGAGCTCTTGTGAAATACAAAGAGCCACTTCATCCATCCTATCCGACCAGACCAGGAGAGAAGGTACACATCGATCTAGTGAAAATGCCGAGAGGAGTAGGCAATATGAACTACGTCGTGAACATACGAGACGATTTYACTGGGTTCGTGGACGGTAGACCTATCAGGARTAAGGCGGCAAAGGAAGTAAAGAACTTTGTCCTATAGTACTTATCTAGGTATGGTTGTGTCAGCAAGATAGTGATGGACAGAGGGGCGGAATTCCTAGCCGACGAGGTTCAGAGCGTGTTTAGGAGAGCCGGTGCGAGAGTTTCGATAGCCACCGCCTATCACCCACAGTCGAACTCCCGAGTAGAAAGGGGACACCAGACTCTGATAGCGTCACTGTCCAAGTGGTGCAAGGGCAAGGACAGTGATTGGCTACGATATTTTCGATACGCGATATGGGCGGACAACGTCACGGTCCGGGCTAGTACCGGATACCCACCGTACACCTTGTGGTTTGGATGACATTGTCCGCTTCCCATAGAATTTCACGTCGACAGCTGGACAACCATCGACTGGGCGGAAGAGATGTCCAGAGAGGAACTCTTAGCTGCCCGAACGAGACAAATAGCCTACGGTTTGGAAGATGACCTCATGACAGCGGCAGATCGTCTGGTAGTGGTAAGGGAGAAGGGTAAAGAGAGATGGGATAAGAACGTGCGAATCAAGAAAGAGATGGTGAGCGTAGGAGATATGGTCCTTCTCTACGATGCAGCGCTGGAAAGGACCTGGACCGGAAAGCTTGCCAATAGATGGATGGGACCTTACAGAGTGGTTGAGGCACTTGACTGGGGTGCATATATGATAGCAGAACTAGACGGATCTAAGTGGAAGGACCCAGTGGCGGGGGCTAGGTTAAAGCTGTTTAGGCCCAGGCCCACGCCCGCTTTATCGCTAACCAGCCCGAAAAGGAAAGGGAAAGCCATGCTGGAGGATGGAGCGCCCTTGAGGCAATTCGAGGCAGGAGAGAGTTCCAAGAAGAGGAAAATAATAAAGAAGGGAAAGGTCAAAGGGGTAGCTTTAGGAAAAAAGAAGAGATGGTTATTCGTGCTCAAGTGAGCTAGACGGAGAGTTCGCGTTAGACGTACTGGCGGGTCGACACCCTTCTTGGGGCAAAGACAAAAGAAAAAGAGGATCGTGCGGGGACAAAAAACCAGAAGAAACAGGAGAGTCAAGAAGCATCTTCTTAGCCCCAGGACTCATAACAAACTGAAACATAAGACAACTGAACGCCGACGTGGGCGTCCTTTACGGGCTATCACCCTGAAGCTCGTCCGCTTCGTCTGACATAAGTTGCTAGGGGCTCGACGGGGGCGTCGAGAAGTGGTCCGGGCTAATTGTCAGGCGGCCACAAGCAGTGCGCCGCCTGAGATCCGCAGTTTTGGGACTTAGGCTCAGGGACAAATCCGTGATTTGATGGTAGTCTCGTATGACCAGGCAGCAAAAATTAGGGGGACTCAGGGCACCCCTGATTTTTGGCGCACWGAGCCTTATGAGTAACCCTCAAAGATGGCGAGATGGGTGACCGGACTCGGCATGTCTAGGGACTGTCATTTCCRACCGTTCAGAGGGTTAGACCCRGATTGACCTGCCGCGGAGAGGCATCAAGGGAGTTGACCTCGCCGCAACGTTTTTGCAGCATACGACCRGGGCGAAATGGGGCCTTAAATTTTTGTCTATTTTAGTACCGTAATTAAAGATGGGAAGAGGGGTTAAGACCAGTAGGGGAGAAGRGAAAAACATAATATCCCTTAATTTCTTTATTTTTCACAGCATTTAATTCTAGGGGGAATACCCTTGTTATTTTATTTTCTCAAAAAAATTAAAAAATAGAAAAAAATTAAAAATGGTAAAAGAGAAAAGAAACAAAAGGAATTCGGCCATTTATTTAAACTTTCTCGCAATTGAATTTTATTGAACTTACGGTTAATTTACTATTTCCGACAACAGAATTAAGGAAAGGGAAGAATGATGAAAAATGATGAAAGGGATGGGAACCCATGACTATTAGGAGGTTGGCCTAAATTCGCCTCGATTACCCGCCGTTAGCTCTGACCCCGGATTGAACATTTTCCCCGGATTTTAACAGTGTCAATACTGCTGATGGYCGAGGTTCCCTGCGTCGGTTTCGCTGGTTTGCTTGATTACTAACACTACCGTTGTTGGGACGTTCTGAGAGCGGGAGACGCATGAGCAGGTACTACCTTGGGTCGACCATGGTGTTTGGTTCGGTACGGATATGAGGCTTGTTACGGAGTGGCTGCGTCCTACGGTGTCTGACGTGCTTCAGGTACGGTAT